ATGCAAAAAAAAGCATTATGAATGTTAGAACTCTGGCCCTTGGGTCTCCCATAAAAATTATTTATTTTTCAATGACTAAACAACGTTCTTCCAAATGCAATGAAAACTTTGTTGACAGAAAGGATGAAAAACTTATATCTGAGGGTGGTATGATTCTTCGCTTGTTCTTTGCAGGTTCATGTTTGTGCTTTCCCAGCCAGTAGACTAGGACTTGAAGAGATTGGGATTAGCCCAGACTGCAATCCTGAAAATAGAGCTAGCCCCAGAGAGGTATTATTTATAGCTCTGTGATCGTATAATTCTTAAGCAAGTGCCATTGATCTTGCTGCTTGCTATGGTTGCAGCTTTTCAATTGGGCATTGGAGCCAGCAGAGGATGAAATTCTTGACAAGCTCTTTGAGCTTGGATCTCTAGATGCTGCTGTTTGTGCCGAGGAAAACCCAGTTGATAAAACAGTTGAAGATGAAGCTGCATTGGTTGAAAATGGTTCTGCGACTTAGTTAGCTTGTCTGCCAGATGATTTAACCCAAGTTTTATGTTGAAGATAGGATGCAATGTCAGGACTTACTTCCGATCTGCTACAGTTCTCTGATTCCAAATTCACGTGGCAGGTCAGACATGAATCTTTTTGCACATTACCATTTACTATTGCTCGATTCAAAGAATAGAATTGTGCATACTGATATATATGCAGTATTACTATTTTGTAGTGATTTGTAAGATTAATTTACTCGAGATAGCTGAGAAAGTAGAAAGAAAAAGGAAAAGTGATAGAACTTAGGATTTTGATTGGAACTGTAAAGATCAGTTCAGTTCCAAGTCCACCTCGAAAAGGCCGCAATAATCGTATTTAATTTTGGACATTAAGTTTATTATGTATAGTAGAGGAGGATTCGTGTTGGATTTCTCTTGTTATCTTCCTGTAATTATTAAGTGATGTGAAATGTAGTTTTGTGTCAATGTGAATAAGATTGTAGCCATAACCTATTATTTTCAATCAAAATTTATTTTTCTTGATTTCTCAGCAAGTCTGCTTATTGTTTAATCTTTATTAATTCCTTTTTGCAAATGTTGTGGTCAAGTTTTGATTGTTAAGGTTCATTGCTAATCATATACACATGTTGGAGATAGATTGAATTCAGTTTGTATCCACTGTTCTATTAGGCTTTATATCCTTCTAAAAAAGGTTTCATTTTCAATTATAATTCCTTCTCAAATTTATTGTGAACTTTATTTTCCATTTTTTCCTTATAACTCTTTGACTCCGTCACTGTAGGTATATAAGCCCAAACTCGTTATATTATTCAAACATTACTTGATAAGATTGAAATGCTTTTTAAGAACTAGGTGATATTTTTAATAGAGGGAAGTTTTTAAAGGGGATATATCAAGGTACGATAATATAAATTTTGTAATTGTTTATCTTCCTTTTTTTTTTTTTTTTTTTTGTTTTGGGGGTGGTGGTTGGTGGGTTGGTTGGGGGGTGGTTTGTTGGTTAAATTTAAGTTATATCTCTCTATTTTAACTTCATCAATTCTTGAAGAGTTCATCAAATTTTCCAGGCTTATGTTTATTGTTTATAGGTGTTCATGTAGAGTTATAATGTCCATTCTAATGTAGGAAGGCCGATTTTATAATCTAGATTAACTATTTTGTGAAAATTGTTTTTATGGTTTTAGTGTTATTTCATTTGTTTCAATTCAAATACCTCAAAGTGTGGTAGATAAGAAGGATAATAGTTTGGGATAATAAAGTTCCAAAAAGAGAAAAAAAATAAAAGAAGAGTATGAAATTTTTGGAGTGTCATAAAACTATATATAGATATATATATATATATATATGGGACAAACTATTAAAAGACCATTTTAAGTTTGGATTTAATTAAAAGGGCCATAAAGTTTGAAACTCTTTACTGAATGACCATGTTTTTTATTAAGGTCAATTAAACACTAATGATGTTTAAATTAAGGTTAATGAAGTATTTACTCATTTTTTAAAAATAATTTTTTGTCCCCAAAAACCAAATTTTTTTTTGCAAAGAAACTCAAACCCAAAACCTGCGTTTGGAAAGAATTTGCCCCCTTCCCTCCTGTCATTAACGTCCTGCCCTCCCTGTTGTTCTTCTTCTTAGCAAAACCAGAGCCCACTTCCTCCTCCTTTTGATCTTTCTCTACATCTTCTTCTTCTTGTTACACAAAGGAAGAGATATTTTGAAGAGGGCTAGAAGACATAATAGCCAGTGAAGTTCCCCCTCCTCCTCCTCTTGACATTTCCTCCAAGTTGGTGTTAATCTTCTTTGTATTTTAGATTTCTATCCACTGAGGTTTAATTGATTGAGTTTGGGTTTTGATTTTGATTCAATGGATTATATTTTTGGGTTATCTTTGATGTAATGCAAGTTGAAGGGAGTGAATATTTTTATGATTTTCTTGCATAGTTGGGGGTGGTAGCAATTACCAGAATCGATCAGGTGCAAATAAAAAAAAAAAAAAAAATAGCTTTGATGAAGGATTCCAGATATAATATATCGCTTAAGCGATCTGGTATATCATTTAAACAACTCTACAGATGTCCTTTTAAATCTATCAACCCTTAATATATTGCTTAATAATTTTTTTTTTCTGGTATTGTTGCACTTGACTATTATTAAACATGGGACAAGTTGTTTTGGGTGTTGAATATTTTGTTGAGTGGGTGGAGGATGAAAGTTGTTGGACGTGGTGTAAGAAGAGCAAAGTAGTTATATCAATTGCTATGAGTATATAAGTTACTTTTGATGAGTTGATTGATGAAATTATTAGAAGAGGTGAGTTGAGCTGTTCGTGTAGTGATATAGTCATGAAATATGTTTTAAGCAGAGTGCCTCTAAATTATAAGGTACCCCCTGTTGTATTAAAGTCGGATAAACATCTAAAGTTATATATGCCTGATGTAGGCGATAATGGTTTAAGGTTGATTTTAAGGGTTTCTGTTGTAGATAAATTGTTGGAAGTTGGTTCAAAGGAAGAGGAATGAGCAAGTTGGTGTCGAGAATGTTGGTTTTTATTTTAACTACAAGGGCATTGATTTCTTTGTTGAGAAATCAGGAGTAGACACTGATTTGGGCGGTGAGGAGTACACTATAGAAGAGGTTGTTCATGGGGGGCATAATAATATTGTGGACAAGGAGGACACTGTACATATTTTTGCAGATGTAGAGATTCCTATAAATATAGATCATGCAAAAGGTGTAACTTGTGAGGAAGAGAACACTATAGAAATTCTTGTAGATTTATAGGCGGGAATTGCAATTGGTACTCAAGCATCTCATGTGTTTACTAATGGGTTGGACTTGTACATAGGGTATTTATTTGACAACAAGGAGAAAGTGGTTAGGAAGCTAAAACTTGTTACTGTAAAAGGTAATTTTGAGTTCATCATGCGTGTAAACTGGCCTGGACAACCCTGGTAACCAAAAAAAAAAAAAAAAAAAAAAAAATTGAATTCATTACCAAAAAGTCTAATTCTTCGATAGTGACGATTGGGTGTTGTAACCGAAACTACAGATGTTGGGTTTATCATAGAAGGTATATGAAATCTGAGAAATTTATTGTTAGCACATATATCAACAAGTACACATGTGGCTTAGGACATATTTCAAGCCACCATTGACAAATCTCCGTTGATGCTATTGGACAATTCATGAAAAGTCAGTTTGTTGATGGAAAATGCCTATCTCCTAAAGACATTCATAATTATGTGCACATAGAGTTAGGATGTGATGTCTAACTCCTAAATATTTGTTAATTTATAGATATATATCCTGGCAGACAAATCGTGTATTAATAATAAAGGGAATAATATAATTTATGTAATTATAGTAAACATCAAAGGAGTTGATTTGCTGTCCTTACCTTTTTATGATACTATTGCAATGTTCCACATTAACTTATCCACAACGTGCACTTTACATTAACATGTATGATCAACACAAATCCAGTGATTAGTCAGTCCCACATACACTCATCTCAATAAAGAATTTCTCTTATAAATTTACTTCCCATAACATTATAATCTCTATTATGACCTTGATTGTTTGTAAAATTTGGAAACAATGTTATCCATTCAAACTAAATTCTGAAAATAGTTACAAGAATTTGATAATTAATAGTAGAACAATATAATTTACATAAGCATTTCAAATGATCTCTTATACAATACAACTCATTACTATACACAAAATTGGATAATAGTAATGAGTTACAAGAACCAATCAATTATGGAAACATCTTCTTGCAAGTGTAATAAAGAGTGACTGTAAAAGATCTTCAAGCGTTTTCTCATCCGATACCTTTAGAAGGGGAGCAAATTTGTAGAATCTTGCATGACATCTATTCAAAGATTCTTCATTTACTTTTGGTTTCATCTTATTCTTACAAGGTTTTGGCCTTGTTAGAGCCCTTGGAATTGCCTATACAGCCAACGAATGCATGTAACTTAGCACTCTAAAACAATCAATGATGGTCCAAACTTCAGTAGTTCAAAAAGAATAACTACGCAAAAAACAACGAGTCAGTGAATTATCAGGAATAAATAGTTCTGGAGCAGATAATAATCAGTGTAAATAATGCAGAATGTAAAGTTTCCAATTGTATTCGGCAGAAAATTATCCTAAACCTATTAATTTCTCTCTATCTCCTCCCCTGTATAGAATCCTATATTGTCTATCTATGTTATTCTTATCCTCCTCTATCACCTAAGGAGCAGAAATATTATCTACTGAACACTATCACTACCAGAGTTTTGTCCAACATTTCACAGCATCAAGAATCTACTAGAAAATGGTTAAATGGCACATCCACCAAAAAAAAAAAAAAAAAAAAACAACAATTAAATGAACTGACAAAACTGATGCTGCAATGAAATCTACACAGATTTGAGACAGATTTAGATATAAAAACAGACTTATAGCCTATTAACTCAGCTATAAGATAACACCGTTTGATAATGTTAGGGGGATCTTAGCCGTGTCCATTTTCAGACCATTCTGCTTCATAGATTTCAATGGCAATTTGAAATCCCATATCAAACAAATCACCACAGGTCATCGTTACAGCAACAGCATATCTAACACCACATGATATTTCTCTTGACTGCAATGTTACCATGTCAACTGTTTCAACACTTGACTGGCCCCACTCTGCATCCAAATTCTTCAAGACGTTATAGTTAAAAACCTTTTCTAATGCTCTTCTTGCTTTGTCTTCATCGACTATCGTTGAAAGAGCACATGCTCGTGCATAACTACATTAGAGACACACTTGGTAAGTTCTAGTCTTATCAGATTCGAACTAAAAAGAATATATATTGAGAAAAAGAAACATGAGAAACACTATAAATAAATCAAGATTTTTCAGGCCCGGATAATTGACAATATCAATGAATGAAGTTAATCAATTGCAACATACCATTGTCCAGTAAACTGATCAGCTTGAATAGATAAACTTGAGCGACTACCATCATCGTTGTAGTTGAAGAACCATTCCACAATTTCTCACATACAACTTTTGCTTACTGAAATTTGCACCAGAAATAATCCTCAAACCCTTAAGACCTACTTCATGTGCAAATGCTACCGCAGCCTGCAATGCTGCCACCTCCACTATATGCGCTTACAACAGAGACAGATCATGTGTCGTATGTCTGAACAGGGAAGCCATCATTCTCAGTCATCCCCATCACCATCCCTATCAAATACGAACAGATGAAAGTGTTTACTGAACCTTCTTCTTACTGTAACCGAAATAGAGCATTTGGGCAGCAAGATGAACTTTTGCAGGATTCTGCTCCTAAAAAAGTTTAATACTCACTAAAGTTTGATCACGTAAACTTCAATTTCGCTTTTGGACCAGAAATTGAGGAAGCTGGTTCAAACATTCACGGTAATTTCCGGCCTTCATTATTAGCTGCATGACTAAGGAGATTGTCAATTCAGTCGGCTTCACATTTCTCTCTGCCATCTTATGAAGGAGTTCAACAACTTTTGCTATCTTATTACTTTTGAGGAAACCAAACATGAGCGTATTAAATGTGACTACATTTGAAGCACAACCATTTTCCTCCATATATGACAACAACTCATTTGCCTTTTCTAGTTGTCCATTTTTACAAAGCCCATTGATCAAAATGTTATATGTTACAACGTCCGGCACTAGGTTTCCGTGAAGAGAAAATTTCTGAAATAGGTCCCAAGCAGTTTCGAATCTCCCTGTCTTACATAATCCATCAATGAGGGAATTCAAACCTTCAAGGCTAATTCCAAACTTATTGCTTACTAGAGTATTAAACATTTCTACCGCTTCCAAAACACATCCATTCTTGCAAAGTCCATCAATGAAAATGTTATATGTCCAAGAATCAGGTAAAACACCATTAAGTTGCATCTCACCAACTAAATTCCTTGTATCTTTTACATTAGCTTTAAGAAAAAGGCCAATTAACAAAGTGTTATAAGTTATCACATCAAGCCTATTTCCTTTAGAAATCATCCTTCGATAAAGATAAAGAGCTTTGTTGACTTCTTTATTCTTGCAATACCAATTGATTAAAGTATTGTAGGTCCATACCCCATTCTAGTTACAGAATCAAACAACTCCCTTGCATCACCAATTCTATCAACCAAGCAATAACCATTCATTAAAATAGTGTAAGTATAAACGTCTGGACTAATTCCCAAACCCTTCATTTCCATATACAATTCTCTTGCCTTCTCAATTAATCCATTCTTACAAAGACCATCAATTATAGTATTATAAGTAACAACATCTGGCCTACAAATAACACCAGATTCTTCATTCCCCTTAGCCATTTCTTCACACAACTTAATCGCAACACTCATCTTCCCTGTTTTACACAATCCATCAATCAAAGTGTTGCAAGTGATCACAGTAGGCCTACAACGAACAGCAACCATTTTCGTAAACAATTCCATCGACTCCATAATCTTAAACTCTACACACAGACCTTTAATCAAACAATTAAAAGTCACAGCATCAGGGCTAAAACCCTTCTTCAAAATCCCCCCCAAAACCGCAAAACTATCCGAAACCCTTTTAATATAACAAAAGCAATTAATCAAAACGTTCAAAGACATTAAATCTGGAGACAACCCAGTTGAATTCAACAGCTTATAAAGCGAAATCACTTCATAATAATGCTTCTTCTTTGCAAGTGCACTAAACAAAGCTGTGAATGAAGAAATTGGCGAAATGGGTTGCGAACTAATCATGTAATAAAAAAAGTACAAAGCTTCATTCAGAGTAAAGTTACCTGATCGACAATTTTCTTGGAGGAATTTAGCAAGGAAGGATCGTTCAAGGGGTTTTTCTAAATAATACAAAACCTCATTTTTGGAGCTTGATGTTGTGAGGTTGTGTAAGTGAGCTAACAAAGATGAAATATTACCTTTCAGAGATGGGTTTTGAGAGATTGAAGACGAACGAAATGGGGATCTCAAAGCCATGTATGACGAGTGTTTTTGTCGGTCGTTTTTCCAAGATAGGGTTAGGGTAATTGCAAAATGCAAATGCAACGAAGAGAAATACTCTGACAAATTAAATCAACCCTTAAGGTTTTCAAAATTGCAAACTTATGTCAAGTATCAATCTTTCCTTGACAAACTACCTTCATGATTTCGAAAATTGTTCACTTAGCACTCTGTAAGTTAATAATGTAGATCCACGTTCAGGCGTGGATGGTTGCTTTTCGGTTTGAGGCGGTTTTCTACTAAATCCAAAATTATCTAGTTGATCAAACAAAATGCAACCCAAACAAACCAATTTGTATAAGTATTCAATTGGGATGTTTTTTACTTTTTTCTTTTATAAAATTATAATATATATTTTTTTTAATAGTCATTAAGATGCTGTAAGTATACAGAAATACTATGCATACTACGTTTTTACTAACTAGTCTACAACATGAAGTGGCATCTGACCTAGAGATGCCAATTCATCTGCCACGTCAGTCACTTGCCACGTCAAATAGTTAAAAAAAAAATTGTGAAAAAATGTTGCACAGTTGGGTTTATAGAACAAATTTTTGCCTCCCTAATCTTTGCCTCCGTAATCTCATTCTTAATAACTTAAAATCTTCTCTCCCAAATCTCAATCTTAATAACCTAAATCTTCTCTCTCAAATCCCAATCTTAATAACCTAAATCTTCTCCCAAATTAAATCATACTCAAAACCCAAATTACCCATCCCGAATTTGAGCATTTGAACTGCCGACTGTGACATCCATTGTCGCTGTCACATTTGTCTCTGTCACTGACCAGTGAAAGTTCCTTTTGAGTGGTAAGAGCTTACTCACTCAATGGTGTAAAACCCCATTTCCTAATTTAGTTAATTAATTCTCTTTCTAATTGGTTTTTGGCACTTGTTGCAAGAAAGGGGTATTTTTGTCAGTTTTTAAAGTTACATTAAGGAGTGAAACCAAAGAAATAAATTCTGATGGGTTTCCTGAGGGAAAAATCAGGACATTTTTGCTTGAGGAAGCTTGGGTGGCGGGGTTAGACTGAAATTTTTAGATTTTTTACGGGCAGAAATAATTTCAGAAAATTGTTTCTGTTTAAAAGATGAAAAAAAAGGGCAGTTCTCCCAAATGAAGAAGAAGAAAACGAGAGCAGAAAAAAAGAAAGGAAAGGAGAAAGAGAGGAGGAGGAGAAGAAGAGAGGAGAGAAATGAGAAAAATAAAAAGAAAGAGGAGAATAGAAGAAAGATGGGTTCAGCCGAGAGATAGAGTGAGAGAGGAAGACAAGAAAAACAAAAACAAAAAGAAAGGGAGAGGATATATTAGTTTTTGAGTCTGTGAACAGTGCATCATCAAATCGTGATCTGGAGCTCGTTTGCCGTCCGATCGTTCTGATTTTTGGATATGTTGTTCATGAAACACAACTCTACATTCTGAACAGTGGAGATAGAAATCCAAGCACTGTAATAGGCAGTCAATTATAGGATTAGGAGAGTGAGTGGTTTTAATGAAAATTTTCTTTAAAATTTCAGATCTATGCTTGCATGTTAATTTCTAGTATGCCATTTTTGTATTTTGATGAGGTTTGAGCTAAATATGAAGCTTGCTTGGTTTATTTTTCTTTGCATGTTTTCGGACAGATTCTAGAGTGGTTGTTTTGAGTTTTAAAATGGAATGAACTTTGCTTGCTAATTGAACTTGCATGCATTCGGTTGTTCAGATAAACTGTGATGGTGGCTGGATATTTTGGTTGCATGCACTCGTCTGGACTGCATTTTGAGAGGTGCTTGAGTTATGTATTTGGACTAAAAGTTGGTTGGTTGAATACACTTGCATGCTTCCAGTTGGACTGTCTTTGAGAAAATTGATTTTCATGGTGTTTTAAAATGCTGACAGTTAAGGTATTTTGGCTGTTAAAATGTTAAAGAAAGGACTGAGATTTGTGAGTGGCAAAAATCAAACCTTTTTCTCAATATTTCCAAGCGTGCATGTGTTAATTGTTGAGTTTTGTTTCTAAGATATGAAGGATTTTACATGCATGGAGATACATTGCATCCAAGTGCTTAAATTCATGTCTGCATGTGTAAGTTGTGTTTTTCCATTTTATTGTTTGAATGGGATTTCCTTGATTATGTTTTATATGATGCATGCAATGATGGCTTGGATCCCATGCGTTTATGAATTTTATGTGGCCAAAATTATACATGTAGTGGGGGCTGGTTTTATATGCGTTTATGAGTTGCATTTTTGTTGAATAAAAACATGAATTGGAGGCTGGAATTACATGGTTTTGGACTACATTTTTGGCCAAATTATGCAGGTAAAGGTGGCTGGGATTATATATATATATATATAAACTTTTTGGCTTGACTGGAAAATTAAATTGGAAACTTACAGATCTGATTATTTGGATGGTATATTGAGTTATGCATGTGAGGTTTTATATATATATGATGTGGTAAATAATCTTCTCGGTAAAAAGGGAAAATGGGGTGCTTTTCGTCAGTTTTGAAAGTGTGTTCTAAAAACTTATATATATATAAACTTTTTGGCTTGACTGGAAAATTAAATTGGAAACTTACAGATCTGATTATTTGGATGGTGTATTGAGTTATGCATGTGAGGTTTTATATATATATGATGTGGTAAATAATCTTCTCGGTAAAAGGGAAAATGGGGTGCTTTTCGTCAGTTTTGAAAGTGTGTTCTAAAAACTTCCATTTTACCCCCTATTTTCCATGAAATCTCATATGTTGGCATGATTTATCCTTATATGAAATATTCTTATATTATTATTATTATTATTATTTTTGCTCTTGGGTTTAGTTATCATTATAATGTGTTATATGAGTTTTGACTTTTAAAAGTGATATTTGCTTATGATTTGTATCGGTTATATACTAAGATCATGTGATGTTGAAATAATTTTCAATCTGGGTTAAACCGTCAGTTTCTAAAACATGTTTAGAATATTGCAGTTTCACCCCTATATGTGGCTTTTGAATATTATGTCATCTATGTATGATCTATAGGCACATACGTAATATACTCTTGACTTACATGTTACTTGAGATTAAGTATGAGATGATAGTGGGTTTCAAACCACCCTACGTAGTGCCCAACCCCCTCATGATGTTGATTTGGCTCTACGCACGCATATGATTTGATATTGCCGACCCAAGTAGGTCGAAGGCCTGAGCAAGGCAGATATCGCTTCATATGATTGATATTGCATGCCCAAGTGGGTCGAAGGTCCGAGCGAGACAGATATCGCTACACATGATTTGATTTGTTGACTCAAGTGGGTTGAAGGTCTAAGCGAGGTAGATATCGCTACACGGGATATGATTTTGCTAGCCCGAGTGATGCTTGGACTCACTGGGTCGAAAGCTTGAGCGGTGACCAATTCTGCCTAGCAGGATGGATTAATGGTTCAATCCGCGCGATGTTAGATCTGGCCAGGTTGGGCAGATTTACCCCTGGGTACTAGTTGTGGTGAGAGTTTTCTGTTATTAATATCAAAATCAGTTTTAGAATGTTCAAAATCACATTTAGTTTTTAGCATCTGCTATGAGCGATAGTCTCAATATAAGTTTTTAGAATAATTAAGAGAGCTTTCAATATTAGCCACAGTTTCAGAATAAGATACTAGCTTATAGTTTTCAGTATTAGTAAAAGCTATAGTATTCAGTTTAAAGTTAAGTTATCAGCATGAAGTCTACAGTATTCCAAAATCATTTATCAGTGCATAGTTTCAGAAAAATCAGCTTTCAATTTTATATCATCACAATAGTTATAAATTTAGTTACCAGATTTTGTTTTGTGAATAATGAGTGTTCATTGAATGATGGTTTGGATGTTTGCAGCATGACTAGTAGAGTTATTATTTTCATAATCATATGCACTCTTGAGTGATGACATAGATGGTTGTAGCATGAATTATAGGAAACATTGTTCCCAAAAGCATAAGCATTTACAGTTATGTTTTTATGTTTCCAGAAAAAGAATTTTATGCATTCAATGATGAGTTATAATTCAGGATTTGTTTTCAGCTTAAATGATGAGATTACAGTACTTAGAACAACATTAGAAACGAGTTATACATGCATACAGGAATGATTAAATTACTTCCATAACACGTTCATAGAATCATGTTGTTTTTAGGATTTCATAAGAACTATTGCATGCCATGACTATTGTTTGAAGAATGTTTTTGCAAACTCTCCCTAATCCTCCACTCATTGAGTATTTTAGCTCACCCCTTTTTAGACCCCTTTTCTCCAGGTTCACAGGAACAGTTCTACTGAGGAGCATTTCCTCTCGAGGTTGGCCCACACGTCATCGACTCATCATGTGTGTAAAAATGTCATGCATGTTCCCGCTACAGAATTATGTTTTATCCCTATGTTTATCTCCTGTGTTGATAATAAAAGATATGAAGATCTGATACCATCCGTTTTTGGATTTTATGAACGTACAGGGTTGGCTTTCAGATTTTCAAAAAAAAATAAAATATATATATATATATATCTTATGTGTTTATGCTTTCAAAATGAATCCAAGCGAATGTTTTTATGAAAAGCATATTCAGAATACAAGTCTTTAGATTCCCACACGGCACGTCTTGGTCGCCCGAGTCTCATAGGTCCTCCCAGAGCTTATGGGATAGGGAGGGTCGAGGTGGGTCGTGTCAAAAGGTCTCTTTTACTTACTTGCTGATGTTGGGAGAAGTGGAACACAACACTTGCTTGGTGCTTTTGAGTTGAGAACCATGTATAAGTGTGTATAAATTTTATGATAAACAATATTATAGTAAAAAGGAGCTTTGTAAATCCAATACATTGAGGAAATTTTGTGCAAATGTAAAACGGTGAAAGGAACTACACAATTTGGGAAAGAAAATGTGAAAAAAAGAAGGTTTGAGATGTTTTATATAAGGTGTCGTGGAGCTTGCAAAGCTTAATATTAATAAGTTATTCTTGTTTCTGCTGTTGCAAATGGCTGCTCATCAAAATGTCACATAATTCGTGAATCTTCAAAATTTGAACAATGCATTGTTGAAATCTTTTTTCCTTCTCATAATAGTTGTGGCCATTTCAAGTGCTGCGTTAGATGGGTATAAGAATGAAGTAAGAAATGAGTAGATACTTGTTCCTAAATCTTCAAAGTAGCTAATTGAATATACACCTTGAATTGAAAGACTTAGAGTTGCATATGGGTTTTACTTTGGTATTCCATAAGGAAAGGACCAAGATAAATATACATATGTTGACTTCAGTCAATTTACAACTTAATTATGTGAACAGTTTATTTTAACAAAATTCTGCAATTAGTTTACATAGTATTAGAGCTCATTTGACTAACTTCAATGGTTGATTTCAAGTGCTTTTTGCTGTTGAAGTGCATTATCTCGATTGTAATGGAAGTGTGTATAAATGGGACATCAATTCTTGTTATTTATGTTCCCCTTACTTATCTTTTTGTTATATGTTCGGAAGCATGTGTAACTGAATCATTCTCTAGTTAGGTACGTATATGAAGTTCTTGAATTCAGAAATATGATCAGTTGTTATAACCATTTTTTGTTTCCGGGTTCTGGTTGGAAAAAGGTTGGTAGTTTTTAAGGACTTTTCCAAACAGATTCAAGTAGCACCTTTCGGACAGACATTTCGAGATTAATAATGTAGAAGCACTTGTCTTTTTGCCCCTTATTTTATAAAGATGTTTCTTCCTGTTTTCATAAATGTAATAGATTATCTTCCTGATTTAAT